CACGGCAGCCATTTTGCGCCAGACCGCACACCACACACCAGCTGATTGAAAGACGGCGCTCACTGAGCAGTATTGCATCCCTGTCGCTATACTGGGGCATTAGGACCCACACACCAGCTGATTGTTGGAGAGGAGACAGAGTGATGAAGCCAATTGAAATATGGGGATGGTTAGGAGGCCATGATGGACAGAGGCCAGTGGGCAGATTTGGCCAGGATGCCAGGGTTAAACCCCTACTCTTTTTCGAAGGACATCCTGGGATTTTTAATGACCACAGAGAGTCGGGTCCTCGGTTAAATGTCTCATCCGAAAGACGGGGCTCACTGAGTAGTATAGCATCCCCGTCACTATACTGGGGCATTAGGACCCACACAGACCGCAGGCTTGGCGCCCCCTGCTGGCCTCACTAACACCACTTCCGGCAGCAGCCTAGCTGTCCCATGTGGTCTCCCATCCAGGTACTGACCGGGCGCAGCCCTGCTTAGCTTCAGTGGGCGACCATGTGAGAGTTGCAGAGAGCTAGCTGCCTGCAATGCAAAGATGCGATTAGACATCCTGTGGCGCAAATTGGCCGTTTTGTGCGTTTGACGTGCTGCAAAAAAAGTGTGAGCAAACTGAGCAATGGAACTGACAGAAAAGCAAGCAGATCACAATGATGGAGATTGGATCAAGGATGACGGCTGCTGGATGTGACCGAATTGAAAGACATTACAAATAAAACACAAATAAACACACACTAACACTGGCTCAAAAAATTAAATCAGGAATTATTTATCCAGCAGTGTTTAGTGTTGAAGTGAGGCACAAATGCTAGCCAGACCCGCTAGTTTGATGTCTACTGTATAGTTGGAAAGAAAAATAATGGAAGTATAATGTCTATCGCTTTTCAACATTTTTCAAAATATCTTCTTTTGTGTTTAACATAATAAAGAAACTCATATATTTTCGGAAAAAGTGAAGGGTGAGTAAATAATGAGAGAATTAAAATGTTTAGGTGAACTATCCCTTAAAAATATATTTTATATACAGTGAGGTGTCATTTTCACACCAGTTCCAGCCATAACTGTAAAGCATTTTTTTTATATTTGTGCTGCTTCAGAATAAACCCACAATCTCTGCTGTGAGGTCACGGTCTGCACAGCCTGTGGTTTTTGGATTCCTGCTGGGCTTCTCTTCTGTGAGCAGCCAGTGCTGTGTGAATAAGCGCGTAATGTTTGTTTTATTAAGTCTGCAGGAGGGCGATGAGCTATCAGGCTCTCTGAGAATCCCTGGAATCTGTGTATGGTCACAGAAATATTACAGAGATGAAGAGGAAAACGGGCTGGTGGCAATGAGATGTGTGGATTTATAATGCTGAAGACCTCTAGTGTTAATTGGATCCCAAAGGTCCAGTGCAGATGAGAAACACTCATTTCTTTTTTCAGGTCTTTTGCTTTTGTTAGGCTTGCTCTTTCTAGCACATGCTGATAAGCAATTGTGAGAAGCCTACAATTGATTTGAAATCATATCACAGGTTGTTGACTGCTTCAAATGACCTCATTTCAAATAGCATTTCTGTGTCCTTAGCTTAGCTGCTGAATCAATGTAATTGGAAAAAAAACATTTTTTTTTCAGCTTGATGACTAGAGGTGGGAATCTTTAGGGACTTCACAATCTGATTGTGATTCTGGTAGTAAGGCAAGGCAAGTTTATTTATATAGCACATTTCATACACAGTGGCAATTCAAAGTGCTTTACATAAACAGGAATAAAAAAGACAAGTTTAGGACATAAAATGCAGACAATAAAATGATTAAAAACAGATAAAAACTATTTAAAATGTGTTAAAATAGGTTATAAAAGAAAGAAAAAGAAAAAGAAAAAACATAATAGTGCAATCTGTCGGACGTAGCACAGTGCTCATACAGTAAAGGCACAGCTAAACAGATGTGTTTTCAGTCTTGATTTGAACATGCCTAATGTTGGAGCACATCTGATCATTTCTGGAAGCTGATTCCAGCAGCGAGTGGCATAGTGGCTGAAGGCAGATTCACCCTGCTTTGACTGAACTCTTGGAATTTCTAGTTTATATGATCCTAAAGATCTGAGTGATTTGTTAGGTTTGTATTCAGTGAGCATATCTGTAATGTAGTGAGGTCCTAGGCCATTTAGTGATTTATAGACCAGTAATAATACTTTAAAATCTATTCTGAATGTAACTGGGAGCCAGTGTAGAGACCTGAGGACAGGTGTGATGTGCTCTGATTTCCTGCTTCTAGTAACTAGTAACAAATTAATTCCAAAACAATTCTTCACCTCCTAGTTCATTTAAATGCAGAATTGATTATTGATTCTTTTAAATAATAGACAAAGAATTGCGATGCATCAAGGATTTATTTAAACAATAAAAAAAAAAAACTAATGATCTATTGAGCTGTTTGTCTTGTCTTAACTTTTTTCCCCCTGCGTTTTCTTGTACATTTTAATTTAATGCACTTATGGTTCTCTTACAGGAATATTTTAAAACGTTTATTATCACTGAAAATGGTGTCAGCTTATTAAAACCAAATAGCTTTCATCAGGACTGGTTTGATAATGCCTGTGCAACTGAATTTCATTGTCATGTAAAGCTGCTAAACCCTCTGTTTTGACATGGAAAAAATGTGTACAAAAATATTTGGAGCTGTAAAGCACTGTCAACAGGTCATCAATGCATAAATTCAAACATTTAAAAATGAAGTGCAACATCAGAAAGGAAGATTTACAATAATAATAATTATTTTTTTCTTTTCTTTTCTTTTTTTTACCTGTTAACATTCCAAAAACAGAATTGCATTGTTCAAAAGTTAGTGCTCAAAGCAATACTGTAATGTTGTATTTAATATAATTGTTTTAAAGTTGGTCAAAATACATCCAAATGTAGTTTCTACAATATATAAAAATAAACATTGGGAAGTCACATTTAATGATGAATAAAATATCAACTTCTCTTTTTAAAAATGATGTACGCAAGCATGAGTTGAATCTAATACATATTACATCATGAATAATGTTTGATTCGTACTTCATCAGTTTTTTTTTTATGAACAGTTTGTTTGATGTGTTTGTTATATGTTTTTCATTCATTCTGCATGTTTTTCTCTCCCTCATTGCACTGCCTGCTGTTTTTTTGTCTGTAAGTATATAAGTTTTCAATTGTCACTTTCACATTATCACTCCTTTCTCAACAACTTCCCTTTCTCTGTTTCACAACCCTCAAAAATGAACCCAACTGACTGAAACGATGATCCCAAATGATCGAATAATCATCTTTTTTATACATATATCATTCCCACGGCATCTTTAGAAGTGCACTCAAATGAACGGTATTTAAATTAGATGTAATCAAATCACATAACCTGTATGAAAGTCAATGGGGCGCTGTAAAAAGTTGTATATCTGGTAATGGTTGTGAGTAGTGATGGTTTGATAGGATGTCAGGAAATACAGTGTTGTTGCTCAGGCTCTGTTGTAAAGGGTGTTTTTGGCTCAGTGCCACAGCCGCTTACGGAGAGCTCCATTAGACTCAAAGCCATCTAAATGTGATAATGCAACGGCTAACTCTGGTCGGCTCTTAATAGACCTTGGCAAGAGTGAATCTTGACTTTAGTATTGCGCAATCGTTATGCGTGTTTGCATTGCAGAAGACTGTAACATGACCTTTTGTAGATGGTTAACATACTGTATGATGACATCATGTTTTAAAAAAGCAATAAACACACCATGTATTTTTTTTGCATAAATTATAAAAAAAAATATAAAAATGTTTAAAAGTAATAATTCACAATATAATAATTTGACCGTATTAATTAAAGTAATCTTTATTATTATTATTATTATTATTATTAGTTTATTAGTAGTAGTAGTAGTAGTAGTGTTGTAAGCTTTTAATAATAATAATAATTATTATTATTATTATTTTTACCAGCTGAAGTGTAGTGTGAAGGAGGAAGACAAGATGAGCATTTAACATATATTTATTAGACAAACAATAACAAAAACAAAACTAGAACAAACTAGGGAACACACAGCCATTATGAGAGTAACGAAAATACAACTAACAGGGGAACGAGAGGGGAAACGAATTGAGATATATATAGTCCTAGTCATCAATGGGGATAAGCCGCAGCTGTGTCTGTTTGATCACAGACTAACAGGAACCGGTGTGTGTGTGTGGTGCATGGCAGTATATGTTGTCCGTGTGACAGCAGATTTGTTGTTTATTAGCAATCCACAGTCGTTGGATCATTGATAATCATAACAACAGCATTAATAATAAGAGTAAGAGATAACAACCACTCACTTTTCTTCAGCTTATTCCTTACTTTATCAGGAGTCGCATCGAGTATAATAACAGTAATAATAATAATAATTGACTATTAATATGATAATTAAATTATATGCTTTTTAATAATGTATACATTTAAATATTATACAAGTAATGTATTTAAAAACATGAGTATATAATAAATACAATTATTTGTATATTTTAAAAATAATATTCTTATCTAATCAGAGCAAAAGCTCTCAGGAAGCTATTAAATGTCATATTTCCTGTATAGTTTTTTAATAAATTGATTAAATAGTAATAGAAGCAAAGTAGGAAATAAAAAGCAGAGACTAAATCTCTATTTTAACCTTTAAATGGTATTTTCTTCATTCTAATTTATCTTTTTCTTTGTTTTAAATCGACTGTTTAATTCATGTGTCTTTAAATCATTACTGACTTGATTCCTTGTTATGCCAATCTTTCTTGCATGGCTCTGTTAAAATTTATTAGACAATTTCTCTGAATTTACGCCAACTAACCAAACTCCTCAAGCTGTTGAGAGTGTATTTGAGCACCTACTGTTGAAATACACCTCAGGCTTAATATATTATAACTCATGAATATAGATTGTGACATAGTCCACAATCACAGTAGATGTCATTGATTTAGGTCAGATCTCTCAATATCATTGCACTTTTCTCTCTGGTTTTAGGAGAAGGAAGGCTGGCATTTTGCCCAGCTTGGAGGACCTGCTGTTTTACAGTATTGCTGAAGGCCAGGAGAGGATCCCAGCTCACAAATTCATTACAGTGAGTGAGATATTATATTATATTTACAAATATTATCGCTTTTCCCCCACACACGACTACTGTTTAAAAGTATGGCTTTAACTTCCAGCTTGGGACACTTACATTCAAATGAATTGTAATAACATATAGAAATACGATTTTATTATTATTTTATGTTTTATGTTACAGTATGTTATATTGTGCTACACATAATCAATAAATGCAGTGAAAATTGTGTGAGAGGTATATGTTGGAAGCTGTACTTTGTCTTTAACCATCATGAAAATAATTTCACACTTGGTGTTTTATTGTGAGATTAATATGGATGCCTCATTCAGTTGAATTAAGTCATTCTAGAGTTCGGTTGCCTTTTTTTTTGGTTCATTTGGGCAGGTGTGAAAGCGGCAATCGTACTCTGGTGCACACTAAAATTGGACCAAACAAGTGTATCTTTGAACGGCTGGAAAAGGTGGTACACTTTCAAACAAACCCTAAAGCGATTAGTTTGTGGTGAGAACGTGAACCGACCTTAAACCGACCCAAAGGCAAAAGGTACTTTGCAGGTCACAGACAAATATCCCGTTTCCACTGAGTGGTAAAGTTTGGTTTGGTACGCTTTTATGGCCTTTTCCACTGTCAAAAGGCGTACCGAACTGAACCGTACCATACCACTTTTTCGGCACAATTTCGAATGGGTACCAAACACGAGAAAAGGTACCAAAAGGCGGAGCTAGACGTGCTGCTGAACGCTATTGGTTTACAGAGATACGTCATTTGTTTGCGCAACAAGCCGGAATGAAAACAAAAAACCTACCATGTTTAAAATACACAGCAGAGAGATTACAGTGGAATTATATTTACATATTATACCGACCCATGGTTAACCCGGGCTCAAACAAACCTTGTGATCATCTTGATGAAGTCTGAAGTGCGAGCAGTTTCGCTTTCTTGCTTGCGCTCGCCGCGCATCTATTTCTGAAATAACAAACTTCATGAGCTGATGATAATAACGTGCACTTGATTATTGGCGTGCTTTTGAAACCCGATCCAGTCAGATGTATGCTGTGTGTAGTTCTTATGTAGTTGGTAACATATTGGAGACTGTAAGGGGCTGTATGTGTCCATATATGTTGCATTTATTTATTTAATATAATTACAGACGTTACAGTAGGCTATTTCGCACTGTCATTGATCTGCCGTTATAATCAACTAATGTTCATAGAAAAGTTAGTAATAAACATTCATACTGAAGTATTTATGTGCATAAAGCTTCTGTTTTGTGAGAAGTGCTTCTCATAGGATATGTAAACGACCCGTACAGCTTTACTGTAGACATTTTCTCGAGCGAAAATTACGTCGACTGAAACTTTCTGTCATACACCACGCCCACCAAAAGGGTAGGCTTGGTAGTGGAAACACAAGCCTGGTAAGAGTGACCCATACTGACCCGAACTGTACCATACTGTACCACTCAGTGAAACCGAGCCAAAACATGGAGTTGTGAGGAGGTCTGGAGCCTCATAGATAAACTGTATGTTCAAATGCTCCATACTACCTGCTGAATTTTCCTCCCCTCTTTGTTTACTTCCTTGTTTTGCGCACGAGTTTCCCACACAATGAATTTGACCAATCAAAATGCACAACTTTTCTATCCAACGACTGATGTGGATGTTTTCACTTTATTATTTATTATTATATATTATACATTTTAACCTTGGTCTAGACCCAAGGAAATGTACTACAGGTGTGAAAGAACGCACCAAGCACCACTTTTACACCTGTAGATTGATTGTTTTGTTCCAAAAAAGAGCTTCAAATTGTTACAATGTTTATTTTTGTTCTGGTGTGATTCGCTTTCACACAACAAATTTCTAAACAAATCAAAGTAGTTAAAACAAGTCACGTGCGAGTAAACTCATCCTCACATTGTTCAGAGTTTTAGGGTTTTAGTTTTCAGCGTCCCATAAATTCTACTCAGCTGTCATGTGTCTTTATTTTAATTTATGACAATACGCGATGAGACATTATAAGCAAAAAGGTGCACTTTTGGACACCCATAGATATCGTCACCAAATATAAATCATTAAAAGACAGGACTTTGTCATTCGTAGCCTTTTTTCAGTTGTCAAGGGTTGTAAATATTTATCTGTTGAATTAATCAGTCTTTTTAAAAAACAGTTGGCTAGAATTATAGGCTTACATTATAGAAAGAAATAACAGATGAAGCAAGACCGCAGTCAGATCATGAAGCAGATTAATGTTGATCTTGCTGTTGAGGTGTCGGTGCAGAAATAATATGGAAAAAAGTATCAGATCGTAACTTCAGTCAATTCTCATAACGGATAAATATCTCTAATAATAATATCTTTGCATGCTTTCACTTTTGTATTCGACATGAAACATTTACGGGTACAAATGAAACCCCGCCTTACTCATATTTCTCTCTTCATACAGCCGTATATATGGCTATTACACAACCATAATACACTGTGATATAGCCTGGTTCGTTAGTTTGTTGGATCGTATTGCTTTCTCACTACAGTCGATCCACTCCAGAGTTCATTTCAACCAAGCCGAGACCATGAAGCATGATTGCTGGTTTCACATATGCCAAATGAACTGCGCTAACTGGGAAAACGAGACAGGTTTCGAAGCAACTGTCTTGGTGTGAAAGCACCCTAAAGCTCTCGCGGGTTCACTGTGTTTTGTTCCTCCAGATTATTTTGTCTTTGTTTCGTCAGAAAGACGTTTTTTTTTGTGTTATTTATGGTCTGATGAAAGTAAAAATTATCAACAGATGAACCACGAAGCGAATAATGTCACCTGATTGTGTACCATTTTTAAAACACTTCACTGAGTGTTTACACTTCAACAGAGAATTATCTCATAATTAACGCAGAGAATCATAGGGCCAGTGAATAGGTGGATATGCTGTAATATGTTTTGTTTACATCCTCTTTTAGTAGGTGATCTGTTCGTGGTGATAGTGTGACGAAAGGAAGGACAGTGTTGAGGGACAGTGTGTACAATTGCTGCTGTGTTTTCACTGTTATCAGCGTTCGTAAATGGGGCACAGCCACGTTATGTCACACCAAGGCTATCTTATCAAACCTGACCGACAAATAAGTGAAAACCCCTTGATAAGAGTGTTGTGATTGATGATGGTAATGAGCACTGTTGTCGCAAATTGAACTGTTGACACTTATTTGTGCTAATGGAAGTTTTTGTTGTTTGTGTGTGTTTGCATTAAGGCACTGAAGGCCACTGGACTTCGCACTGGAGATCCACGGCTTAAAGAATGTATGGACATGTTAAAAGTCACCCTGAAATCTACATCAGATGGAGTAATGCTGGACAGACACCTGTTCAAAAAGTAAGATGATTTTTCACTATTTTTAATGTGCTAAAGCAGTGTTTCTCAACCACGTTCCACGTTCACCGACATTGCATGTTTTAGAGGTCTTCTTTGTATGTCATATCCATTACAGGTTTTTCAGTCTCTGCTAATGAGCTGATGATCTGAATCAGGTGTTTGGTAAAGGAGACATAAGCTGTGTCCCAAATGGCACATTATTCACTCATGCACTATGTACTTATGCACTAACACACTCAACAGGATAGTATATGTATGTAGTGTCGTCCCAAATGGCACACTAATGTTTTTTACTAGGCGAAAATTCAAACCGTTTTCTAATGACGTTTGACGGTTGCCAAATAAGTGAAATTAACGACCGAATTATCAAATAATACCTGCCATGAGAATAACTGCATTCACCATCAGGAGGCGCTATAATCACTCTCGTAGGAGAATTTGCTTTCACAATCCAAAATAAATAACATTATCCAACATGTGCACCCGATAGCTCCTCCCCTTCCGCTACATAAGCAAACCTGCGGTCGTTGAGTCCATCATTCCACACTTCATTTTAGCGGCTGAATGAGTGCATCATCCGGGTAATTAAAGTGCACTTATTATTTTTAGAGTTTTCAGTGTGAACACACTACTTACACTATTTATACTACAAAATGGCGTAGAATAGTGCATAAGTATGCGATTTGGGATGCAGCTATAGAAAATGAGCAAAGTTGCTGGTCCTCCAGGAACATGCTTGAGAAACACTGCACTAAAGCATATTGAGGGTATTTGCCTGGTTGTGGGATAACCCTAGAAGTTAGTGGAGTTATTTTTTTACATTTTAAAAATAGTAATTTTTAATATTGCAAAAAAAGTTCTTTTAAAACAAATTTTAAAAGAACAGTTTTTAAGATATATATACACTACCTGACAAAAGTCTTGTCGTCGACCCCAGTTGTCTGGGGGTCAGATGAAGGAGGCATTAAAGATGTATCCAAAGAATTTTGATGAACTCTGGGAGTGCTGCAAAAATGTTTTCTTTGCTATTCCAGATGACTTCATTAATAAGTTATTTGAGTCATTACAGAGATGTATGGAAGCAAGCTCAGATGTCGTCCAAGCTCATGGGAGTCTACACAATATTCATTCTTTTTCCATTGCACCATGACTTTATATTCTATACTGCACATTATTTCTGTTAAGTGACAAGACTTTTGCCTTTCGTATAAGCCACTTCTGATACCAAATGTTCAAGTAGAAGTCAAGTTATTATTTGTTGTTCCTATAAATTGAATAGGGGACAAGACTTTTGTCAGATAGTGTAGATATATTCTAAAATCAAATTTATTCCTATGACGCCTTTAGTGTTTCATATTTCTTCTGAAATAGTTCCAGCTGATTAATGTGTTGCTCCTAAATGCTTATTTTATCTTAATATAATATTTAGTGTTTTATCTCCAGGTTTATTTTCATGAAAATTCATTTGCTGTTTGTAAATATCATGTAAATCAAAGGCGGCAACACCAAGGCTCCAAAAATACAAATTTATTAAATTAAAAAGGCTGACACAGAGCGTGTAACGTTTCGAGCCGCCGGCTCTTCATCAGACAATGTTTATCACAATCAGGTGCTTCTTTTTATACACTTCCGGATCACATGATCTCCTCTCGCATATATGCCAACATATACACACATGCATATGTATACATACACAATCGTTCATATATACATATACATACACATGAATACGTATACACATTCACATATAGTATATAGCTTTGATATTATAAATCAAATTACAAAAAATATATATAAATACATAAATAAACTATAATATTACATCACAAATTACAATAAAGAAAAATAAATAAATACAAGAAAGATAAATAAATAAGAAAAAAAAAAAAAAATATATATATATATATAAATATATATATATATATATATATATATATATATATATATATATATATATATATATCATGATACAAAAGACTATACAACAAAATATAGCCAAAAAAACCTATAAACCAAACCCTATAAATTAGTCGGGGCTATCACAGCGGAATAAACCGCCAACTCATCCCACACACTTCCCTGCAGCGGACGCCCCTCCAGCCGCAACCCATCTCTGGGACACTATTACATAATAAAGACTTATTAAAAAATTATTACAGAAAAGGACGAATGTCAAACTCCTCATTTAAACCTTTTGGAGACAATGTGTCTAAAGTGAAAATCCAGAAAGCTTCGCGTTGCAACAGCAATTTATTAAGATCACCGCCCCGACGTGGACACTTCACAACTTCCATCCCTATATATTGTAGAGTAGAGACGGAATGTCTCATAACTGAAAAGTGTTGCGCAACCGGACTTCTGGGATCATGGTGTCGAATAGCGCATCGATGTTCAGAAATACGAATTTATAAAGGTCTACTCGTCTTACCTACATAACATAAACCACACAGGCACCGCAGCATATAGATTACGTTCGCTGTCTTACACGAAATAGTGCCTCGAATATTAAATATTTTCGCTGTATGAGGATGTGTGAAAGTAGATGTTTTATACGTGAAGTTACACTGTAAACAATTGCCACATTTAAAATTACCCTGTGGTATGGTATTTATCAATAATAATATCAAAGCTATATACTATATGTGAATGTGTTTACGTATTCATGTGTATGTATATGTATATATGAACGATTGTGTATGTATACATATGCATGTGTGTATATGTTGGCATATATGCGAGAGGAGATCATGTGATCCGGAAGTGTATAAAAAGAAGCACCTGATTGTGATAAACATTGTCTGATGAAGAGCCGGCGGCTCGAAATGTTACACGCTCTGTGTCAGCCTTTTTAATTTAATAAATTTGTATTTTTGGAGCCTTGGTGTTGCCGCCTTTGATTTACATTTAATTTGCACTTTTTGCGGTTTCGGCTGAGCACCCAATTAGGAGAGATGTGCGTGCTTTTGTACAGTTTTTTCTGTTTGTAAATATCATCATAAATGTTATCTGAGCAACCTCTTGGTGAGAACGCCCACTAGCGACTTCAATCTCCACCCAGAGTTAGAGTTGCTGCTACAGTAGTGTGTGAATGAGGTTTTAGATGTGATCTATATCAGCTGCCTCTTTTACCCAGTCAGAGAGAGAGAGAGATGTCTGTTTTACAGCTCATCTGTGATGATGCTGCTGTTCTCTCTGGCTGACACTGACAGCTTCATTACAGACTGAAGAGATGGATGCAGTGCTGTCTGTCAGCTTGTAGAGGCTTGATAGATTATGGCAGTGTGACCTTGCAGGATAGACAGGGCCATAAAGAGACAGAGAGAGAGACCAGGCTTGGAACTTAAAACTAGTACACTTACAGTTGCGTTATTTCCTCATTTAACCATTTCATACAGCGAATTTTGCAGAGCTTTTGGTGATGATGAAAGGAATGGTTGCAATTGAGATTGTGTGAATTATCCACTGTTTAGTCATGTATTTATTGCAGTAGATTGGTTTCTTTCCAAAAATTGCAGATTTAATTGGTATAAAAGTTGTAATATTGCATACATAATGTATCATTTTCACCTCATGTGTTTAAGAGCAGAGCTTCAGACTGACATTTGAGAGCATAGCCATTATGTTTTGCAGATGCAACACCTTATTTGATAACACTGAATATTCAGCAATAATCATATTGTAGTTTTTAGTCTGTTGATATTGTATAGTTGACAGCAGCTTGAGTTGAGAGTGAGCATTAGTTGGGATCCAGATTTTTTTAATCATCAAAAAAATACCATCCATTAAAATTATTATAGCCTCATCTTATATATTTGTAGATCATGATAACCACAGTTACTCCATACACGCACAGAAATAAAAAGTACGCGAGCTGTCACTGGGATGGTATACCTTTTCAAAAGGTACACATTTGTACTTAAAAGGTCCATATTGGTACCTCAAAAGTATATATAAAGTAAGTATTATTTGTACTTTTTGAAAAGGTACCACCCCAGTGACAGCTCGCATACCTTTATTTCTGAGAGTGTTGAAACCTCAGTACCATAGTAAAAAATAGCCTAGATTAACAATAACCTCAAAACAATTAGTACAAACTAATCCACAATTTTACATGGCTTAACAAAAATATAGTAACAATAGTATACTACTCCTTTATATATTGAAATATATTAAAATGTATTAATAAAATAATCAAATTTAATAGGTCATATTAATATGTGGAATGAAAAACCTTACCTGATTGCTGTCACAGAGTATTTCAGCTTCTTTCCACTTTAGGGAAACTGGTGTAAATTGTCTTTTTTTCCTACACTATAAATGACTTCTGAGAGTTCAGAAAACAAACATAAACAATTACTTTTATAATATTTCACATTCAGTGGTGGATACCTGACGTTTTGCAATACATCCAGACAGTTCTGGGAGCTTATTTTAAGGATGCACTTCAGCATCGATATCACAATGCGAAACAGTCACATCTCAATATATGCAATGCTGAGTCTGGATTATCTTTGACCAGGAGCCACAGAGTTGTATTTAATTATTGTATTTGTATGGAATCTTTACGATTTATGCCAAAAAAATATATACAGTTGAAGTCAGAATTATTAGCCCCCTTTTGATTTTTTTTCTTCTATTTTAAATATTTCCCAAATTATGTTTACAAGAGCAAGGAAATTTTCACAATATGTCTGATAATATTTTTTTCTTCTGAAGAAAGGCTTATTTGTTTTATTTCGGCTAGAATAAAAGCATTTTTTTAAAAACAATTTAAGGACAAAATGATTAGCCCCTTTAAGCTAATTTTATTTCTGATAGTCTAAAGAACAAACCATAATTATACAATAACTTGCCTAATTACCCTAACCCGCTTAATTAGCCTAGTTAACCTAGTTAAGCCTTTAAATGTCACTTTAAGCTGTATAGAAGTGTCTTGAAAGATATGTAGTCAAATATCATTTACTGTCATCATGGTACAGATAAAATAAATGAGTTATTAGAAATGAGTTATCTAAACTATTATGTTTAGAAATGTGTTGAAAAAATCTGCTCTCAGGTAAACAAAAATTGGGGAAAAAATAAACAGGGGGGCTAATAATTCAGGGGGCTAATAATTCTGACTTCAACTGTATTTTTAAAAAAAAATTGTCCTATTTCTAGTCTAAATATCTACATTTTTAAAGCAAAAATAAGAATATTATACTTAACCCCAGGCAGATAATTTAGCTTGATTTAAGGAAAAACTCTTGATTTTGCCTTATTTCTTCTGAAGAAAACAAAACAATATTTTGACTTGATGTTGGAATTTTTACATATTTGGATTAGAAATATTTAATTGCAGAAAAATAAAACATTTTTCCAATATCTTACAGTCCTACTGCTTAATATCATTGCACCTGCTGCAGTCAGGATACAACAGCAAAATTCCTTGATTACGAGAGTGTAGTTTCTAGCCTAAAAAAAATAGCAACTTTTTATTTTGCTTTGGTGTTAGAACACAGTGTTACCACAGAGAAGTCAAGCTTTAAACAGGAAAATATTTAAAACTCTTTGGTTGTTTTTGAGTTAGATGCTAATGGTCTAATCTGAATCAATGCTTTATGCTAAGCTATGCTAATGGATTCAAAATGCTAAAACTCAACTGTTAACTTCAAAGAACTAGTAAATAAACCTACTTTCAAAAAAGGTGGATGTGGTTCCTTTAACTAAATAATTTTTGATGACAGACATTATCTCAGGCATTTCAGAAAGACTGAACCATTGGAGTAAACAGTGTGAAAATGGCCTCTCCAGCTTCTCCTGCCCTACAGACAGCAAATAATAGATTACTTTTTGAAGATTCACATACTGTAAATCTGAACAACATCACCGTGCACAGCTATTTTAAGTGCCTGTCCGTTTAGGGACCTTGTAGAAGCAACTGGATCAATAATTCAGACACATTCTAAGATAAGCTTTGAGTTTATGATGCCTGTGGATGCTGTATTTCCCTCTCAGCTTTGCTAAACTATGGCTTCCTCTCTCAAGCCATAGATGTTTTAATATTTTACAATACTTTTTTTTGTTTTTCTTTAGGAAGTGTATTAGGACATATTTTGCTTTTCTAACTTTTGATCAAAAAAAAAAAAAAAGCTTATTTGGAAAGAAGTGTGAATGATTGCTATAAGGGAATATAACGGGATAGTTCACCCAAAAATTACAATTTGCTTTTAATTTACTTGCCTTCAGACCATACATTCAAGATGTAGGAGATTTTTTTTAGTAGAGCATTAAAGATGATTTTTTTAAATCATAAAATTCATGTCAACTTTCAATTTTAACTCAATTGATACTTTTCATGTGCATTTTAGGACCTTGATATATGCTCCCACAGCTTTTTATGTTGAAAATGTAACATATTTTAGCAAACTTTCCCTCACTGTTCTATTAAAAAAGTAAACTTTATTTTGAATGGCCTGCGAGTATTAAAAGCTAATGTTAATTTTGAGGTGAACTTTCTCTTATCCCTAAATACTTAAGCTCTGTGTCTCTTTTGTTTTTCCAGGTGTGTCCAGAGCAACATTGTTCTGCTAACGCAGGCTTTCCGGAAGAAGTTTGTCATCCCTGATTTCCAGTCTTTTGCCTCTCACATTGATACACTTTACGAGAAAGGCCGAAATCTTTCTGGAGGGCTGGTAAGATGAAGTTGAATTAATAGCATCTAAAATGTCTTTTCTGCCTTATGGAGCTTTTGTTTCTGATCACTTCTTTTCTTTACACACAGGTTGCTGACTACATTCCCCAACTTGCCAAATTCAGCCCAGATCTGTGGGCCGTTTCCCTTTGCACAGTAGATGGACAAAGGTATGAACTATTTAAACTTACAGGAACCACTTATTTTCACTTTATATTCTTTTTTTTAGCATCATCTTGTGATAGGAACTGTTTTTTAAATCACGAATGACTAGTTTGATGGACATTTGTCTTTTTTAAAGCTTTTACTTGGAGTCAAAGAGTTACAATTTTCATATTTCAACAAGCTTTGATTATCAGTTTGGGTATTTATTAACCAGACCACTTTAAACAATGGTTATTCCCTGTGTACATTATGACATGTAGCGGAAACGCTTAATATTTATATATATTGGTCACAAAACCATCAGATAAAGTGGCAGTTAACCTTATCATTCAATAAACACTCCACGTTTCTGTTGGACTAGTCATTCAGCTGAGATAAAAAGATGCTTAATGTTAATCCCCTTACTTGAGAACCATTGATAATAGGACTATAAACCCACACTCATAGAGTCATGTGTCATGGTACATCCTTTGATCCATGGTCATTAGAACAAGCAGAGATGCAATCTGCACATTTTGGCCATTTGTTGTAAAGATACATAGGGTGCCTGCATACCTGTGTACTGATAGCTGTGGTCTGTTACACAGTAACTAGCTCTTTAGTCAACACAACTGTTCCGGATCATTGACCTTTTGACAAATTGATGGAAAAAAACTACAGTTATTTCACTTTCTATTGAGGTCTACACAAAATTCCAGATTCCATTTGAATTAATTTGGTTAATTTTATTCACAACAAATACATTTTCACCACAAATTCACAACAAAAAAGTTTAAATGATTTTATTTAATTTGTTATTTGTATTTATATTTTAATAAATACACAACCCAAAGTATATAAAATACATCTCAGTAGTTGAATAAGATGTAAAAGTTTATTTCGAGCATCAAAACAAGTTTTTTTTAAAAGGAAAAATATTACATTGAATACTTTTTACATAAATTAGGCAAGGCAAGTTTATTTATATAGCGAATTTCATACACAGTGGCGATTCAAAGTGCTTTACGTAAACAGGAACAAAAGAGACAAGTATAAATAAATAAAAACAAAGGATAAATATGATTAAAAACAGATTAAAATGTGTTAAAACAGGTTATAAATAAACAAAAAAAAGAAAAGAATGACAATTCTGTGATCTGTCAGACGTAGACTCATTTAGTAAATGCACAGATAAACAGGTGTTTTCAGTCTTGATCAGATGTGCTCCAACATTAGGCACTTTCAAATCATTTCTGGAAGCTGATTTCAGCAGCAGTGGGCATAGTAGCTGAAGGCGTAGTCGTCCTGCTTTGACTGAACTCTTGGAATTTCTAGTTTATTTGTTTTCAAAGATCTGAGTGATCTGTTAGGTTTGTATTCAGTGATTATATCAGTAATGTATTGAGGTCTTAGGCCATTTGTTGATATAATAAACAAGTAATACTTTAAAATCTATTCAGAATGTAACTGGGAGCCAGTGTAAAGTCCCGAGGACAGGTGTGATGTGCTCTGATTTTCTGATTTTGGTCAGAAGCGTTCTGGATTAAACATTTTGCATTACAAAACAAATCTTATTATATTATAAAATAGCTTTAAGCTGTGAGTTTGACAGGAACAAACGTATTACAAAAGAACTTGTTTTCTATTATATTGTGCAGTTCAAGTGTAAATTAAATAAATTTCAAATGTAAATAAAACTTGTTGATTGCTGTAAAGTTTATATTACAGTTTTTCTCAGACGCTTTGGTACATTTCTCAGATGAGACTTGAAATTTGCAAAACAGTAAGTGCATTTCTCAAAACCACTTGTACAAATAGCAAACACTATGGAATTATTGCAAAACCCAGTCTCTTGCTCAAAATCCTTAATTCGTCTGTCAAAACTAAATTTCTGTGTCAATGAGTTTGTCAGAATGAAGTGTCATTGTGTGCGCATAAGACAGTCAGATTACTAAATCATGTTGTCAATATAACAGTGTACTCTGGAGATGTGTTATGATGTAATCTATAGCTAATTTTAATTTTTTTGCTGTTTGTACTTTAATTTGACAGCACTGCATAGCACAGAACAAACAAGTAGAAATGTGAACAGGACAATCTCCTTTCAAATGCACCTTCATTAGAAAAAGTCAAGATTCATCCTGGAGAAATTGACCAATTCTAGACGGATTTAGAAAAAAAGTCTAATGGAAATGTAGAGGAAAATGCATTATGTCTGAATGTTATGACAAGATATTTTAATGTAAAGACCAAAATAATACATTTTGATGAACATGACATAAGCAATTGACAGTGTAGGAAACATCAGAGAATTGCACAGAATCATTTGCATGGATGTACCAAAGCATTTGCAACTTGTTCAAAGGATTGAGAAACTTTTTGATTTGATGTGCAATTTGATGTGCATAAGCGACACGCTGAGGTAAAGATTGAACAGGTTGTTTTGAGAAAATTAGTTCTGATCTGAGAAATGGAGCAAAGTAACTGAGAAAAACTGCACATTTTCATTGATAAGCCTGAATACACATATGTAATTATTGCAAATGTTTTTTTAATAAACCTCTGTAGAGTTCAAGAGGAATTGTCTGGGAAACACACTAAAGTGTAACCTTCTAGCATACAGTGAAAGCTTAATATTATCAAGTAGTCATGTCTTCATGTTTAGTAACTGTGGTTCAACTTTGGTTTCTTCATTTTAACCTTTTATTAGCTTCTATGGACCTGACAATAGGATGACATCTGATCTCTGTTTACTCTTTTGCACAGACACACAGTTGGTGACACTAAAGTGCCATTCTGCCTGCAGTCGTGCGTGAAGCCGCTGAAGTACGCTATATCCGTGCACGACCACGGCACTGAATATGTGCACCGTTTCATTGGGAAAGAGCCCAGTGGCTTACGCTTCAACAAGCTCTTCCTAGATGAGGACGGTAAGGATTACAACCATCAGCTTCAGCATGACTGCTCTCTTCTGCAGTCAGCAAACCTTTCAGCATTTCTCTTAAAGTTTGCCGTTATTTGTTCTGTAACAAAAACGTGACTAATCGCTTTTTCCCCTACAGATAAACCACACAATCCAATGGTGAATGCTGGGGCGATCGTATGTACTTCTCTTATAAAGGTAAGCATCTTCAGTTTTATATTATTTTTATTGTTGTGTATTTGTTGACTACTATTTCTAACTGCACTCACATTTACTTGATTTAAATTAGCTAGATCAGACTATTTGGTTTTGACTGGATGAATGGTTTTTGTGATCAGAAGTCATGCTGAAAGGTTGTGGATGTTGTATTTTATAGACTATATTGTGAGCCATGTTGCTTAGACTAAGACCAATTGATCATCAGTGTGTATTATGGGTGCTTCTTGTTTATTCTCTGTCATATTACTGTATTCAGTACACCTACTCAAGGCCTCCGCTTTCACCGCAATCTAAAATATGTGGAGATCATCCCGTTTTCAGGATCATTATTGTTAGAAGTCTGTTTGCAATGAATTTTAGATGAAAATTCATTCAGACTTTCTATCCTCCACATTTTTTTCACCCTCTTTTGTGACCTGGGCTGGGTGATCAATTTTAAAATAAATATTTGTGAGATCAGTTTGAAATACACTATATTGCCTAAAAGTCTTGGGAGAGCTGCCTTTCATTGCAGATGAACTTTAGTGACGTGCCAATCCTAATCCGTGGGGTTTAAAATGGAGTTGACCCACCAACTCATCTGGGAAGGCTTTCCACAAGGTTTAAGAGTGTGTTTGTGGGAAATATTTGACCATTCCTCTGGGAGCAAATTTTTGATGTTGGATGAGAAGGCCTGGCTTTAATTCATCTCAAAAGTCTTCAATCAAGTTGAGGTCAGGACTCTGTGCAGGCCAATCAAGTTCCCCCACACTAAACTCTTTAAACATGTCTTTATAGACCTTGCTTTGTGAACTGGTGCCTGTAATTAGGAATGTGTCATCCTCAAACTGTTGCCACAAAGTTGGGAGCATGAACAGGTTTCCCACAAGTAAGGGAAATTCTGGAATATCATGGAATTTCTTAAATATTTTTTTTTATTGCTTTACATTTTTGTTTTTATTTATTGTCAGTATATAAATTTGTACATTTTTGTTATTTCAAGCCTATTATTATGGTTAGGCTATTTTTAAGCTCCATTTTATTCCTCTCACGCTAATCAACTTGCAGCCACTGAAGTCAAATGCTGTCATCATTTTGTACCGTAACTAAGCAAATCATTTTAGGATAATATACATTTTAGGTGCTTTGGCTTCAAAATGACCATGTTTGGGTGTTAGACAACAGAAAAGCTACTGTAAATATAATATTTATTAAACTATCATCAAGCTGTCAAACATGGGAAGGAGCACTTCTCAGCCACACACACAAACAGCAAGTTTTTTCTGGGGTAAATTATTCATTGTTGTTCTTATAGTGGCTATTAAACTCATGCCAAATGATATCAAAGCTAAACCTATTTTAATATGTTTTTAGCTTAACATTAGTTTATTACATAATTTATATATATATATATATATATATATATATATATATATATATATATATATATATATATATATATATATATATATATATATATATATATATATATATATATATATATATATATATATATATATTAATAATGTAATATTAAATTAATGTTAAACTAAAAACATATTAAAATGCAACAGCAGCCTGTATTTATGTTCATAAGTCATAAAAATTAAGCTTTTAGTCAGAGAAAATAATGGAAAAGTCAGAGAATTTGATATTTTGCTTAAAATGGGCAAACCTGATTAAATTGTTCAAAATGTCTTGGAGTTCCTTTTAATGGAACAAATGGGCCATCCTCAACCCCTAAAAAGACTTGGCACAATGCAGTCAGGCAAGTTTCGTTCTCCTGGCAACTGCCTAACCCAGACACACACATCAGATTGCCAGGCAAAGTAGTAAGTGATGTTAGGTGATTTAAGATTTAATGGAATCCCATTTCATAAAGCTCTCTACTCACTGTTCTTGAGCTAATCTGAAGGCTACGCGGAGGTTTGTAGCTATTAACTTGGCAAAAAGTTGGTGACTTCTGAGCATTGTGCCCATCAGCATACTCTCACACTGCACTGTTGTTGTTTTTTTCAGCATTGCTGTTGTTCTCAACTGCTTTCACTTCAATATCACTAGCAGTTGACTGTGGGATATTTAATATTGAGCAAATTTCACAAATGGACTTATTGCACAGTTGACAATTGCTCCTGCAAATGACCCATTCTTTCACAAATGTTTGTAAAATCAGTGTACATGCCTAAGTGCTTTATTTTTTACACCTGCTGCCATTGAAATGATTGGAACACCTGAATTTAGTGATTTAGAGGGGTGTCTCAAAACTTTTGGCAATATAGTGTATGTACAGATATGTTTATCACCTATTTAGTAGCCTATATCATATGTGATTACTGCAAATGCTTTTAGATCATAGAACATGTAAAGAATATATACTGAAGTTTTAGCATACTGAAGTTGAATTTATAAAGGTCAAATCAACTGACTAAAAAAGACAAAATATCTGTTTATTTTGAATGCAGGACATTTTTTACTAAACATAATAATATCATTGAAGACACGCAGTCTAGACAGATCTGCATTGTCAAACTCAACATATTGAGTATTTAAATGTTTTCATTGCAATTCATCCAAGTATAAACATGGTAAAAAAACATCAATAGTTTCCTTAATATATTTTATGAAAACCGTTTTAGTAAGTATTTTATTAATGCTTTGTAAACACATTAAACTTGTAGTTAAACCTACAAATTTTAATTTAATATTCGATAGTTATACAGTATCACCCAGCCCTACTTGTGCCATATTTAAAATGCATCATGGTGTATATTTAAAGTATTTGTAGTGTATATTTAAAGTATATGTAGTGGTTTTATGAAACCCAGCTAGTGTTGCTTGGAGTTGTTTGCACGTTTTGGTTTCGTATGCGTGTTACAGTGGATGCACCTTGGTCTTATATGTGTTTTGATCCATGTGCAAACACACAAGATGAGAAAAACACTCCAGCTGGGTTAATGGTGGTTTTGTAATTCAAGTGTTTTTATTGCTTTATGTTGACAGTTATGCTCAGAGTTGAGGCGTTGAATACAGTATGCATGTTTGTCTACGTTTAGTTTAAAGTGATAATTTCTAAAGAAAACACGTTTTCAGAAGGCTTTTTTGAGACGAGTCGGAAAAAATTGTTGTCATCTTGTGCTACAACAGGCTTGCATAAAAAAATCACTTTTTTATGCAATTATGAGGGCTGTCAATTTATAGTTAATTTAGTGCAAAAGTATTTTCAGAAATATGTTGTCTGTAACTGTCTAACTACAGTATTTGTAACTTGTAGTTTAAAGTGAATTACATAATGCAGTCATTATCATGCAAGCGAAGCATGTGTAAAGCATTTTGATTGATGCATTTGGCACATGCCGCTAGTTTTAGCTTTGCTTTTAGTACAATATATTTGTTAATCCTTAATGTTTATGGTGATGAATGCCTCCATAATTTTTTTTGTCATCCCCACCCCCTTTTTTATTTAAATTCTGTATTCTCTATTTTATTCTTTCTTGCCATAGCCATGTTTGACTTTTAATGCCAAAAAATAAAAGATACTTTTATTTGGCGTCATGTCTTAAAGCTAATTGCAAATGTTCTTGATGTATATTACAGTTTTTCACAGTCGCTTTGGTGCATTTCTCACAACACCAGTGCATTTCTGCACAACAGTTAATGCATTTCTCAAAACAATTAGTACAAATTGCAAAACCAAGTTGGTAACCTGCAAAAGCATGTCACTTGCTCAAAATGGATGGTTCATTCCTCAAAAGCAAGTATTCATGTCAATCAAAGTGTCAGGGTCATCAAGATGAAAAGTCCTGACACAATTGTTTATTAACAAGATAGTCAAATGGCTTTGTCATGTTTTCTTTATGACAGTTTACTCTGGACATTTTTTTCAATACAAAAAAGTTAGATGTTGGAGACACTTCCTGAAAATGCTCAGGACAGCACTTTATACTATTTGCACAGCCATTTGAAAACTGCAGCAAAGTAAGACATCACTGCATTTAGTGAGGTATCTGAGTACAAGACACTGAATATGTATGTTTCACTTTTTTACTGAATTTGATCGTTGCAATTCTAATTTATTCACAGCATTGTGCAAAAGAATAAGTACACCCTTATTTACAATAAGCATAAGCTTCCTTTGGGTAGAGCTGTGCACAACTGTAAACAATATCGCAGAACATATTGGAACTGAACCTACTACACAGGTCTGTAAATCATTCATGAAATTGTTCAATTTAGAAGACTTTTTCTGAAAAATAATTTCTGATTTTTTTTTTATAAAATATTTTTTTTAATAGTTCATCATTTTTGTATGTAATGACTCAGGTAATAAAATGAGGACTATTTTATATGGAATGACTATTCAGCATTTACAAGTTTAGTTAATTTTGACTGACATGGCATAAGCAAATGATAATGTTATAAATAGCAGATAGTTTTATGAAAACAATTGAAGCATGTCTAAAAGCATTTGCAATTAGTTGGAAGGAATGAGAAACTGCTACTATGATGTGCACAACTGACTAATTGTTTTGAGAAATGCATTAACTGTTGTGCAAATGTAAATTGTGTTGTGAGAAATGCATCAAAGCGACTGAGAAAAACTGTAAGAAAACACTGGACAAAACAAGTCTGCAGGCCCCAATATACTACAAGCGAAATAAAAAAAAAACATATTACAAATATACTCATTTAGCAGATAATTTTTATCCAGTGATATGAAATCGTTTTAAACAAAATCAGGCCAAAACCAAATTAGTTTGGAGTTCATTTCAGGACTAGAATCAACTTGCCAAAATGAAATTTACTTTAGGGTTGTGCGATACTGAATAAAAAATGTGATGTGCGATAGCATGCAAAGTAATGTGAAATATAAAAATGCAATATGATATTTTTTAATGATGTAATAACAAACGTACATTTTATATTATTTGAGGGAGCAGAAAGCATCACTACAGCTTCTGACATCAGCCAAGTTTTATTGTTTTAAAAAGCAAATCAAGCAT